ATATATATATATATATATATATATATATATAACTTAAAATAGAATATTAATTGAATTAGTAAGATAGATGTTGAATAAATATATATTACTTAAATATTTTTAAGCAAAAGCAGTGAATAATATTTCATGTTACCTATAAAGTTAGTTTGAAATCCAATTTGAATAATTATCCATATGAACTATAAAGAAAAAAAATCAAAGATTGATCACATATGAGTTTGGATGAATCTATTATACCTTGAACAATGGAAATAAATAATTAAAGAAATTTACATTTAACTTTTTAACTCTAGTAGAACATATAGGATTGTTAACAAGTGATTGTAGAACATATAAATTTAAATTTTGCAATTTATTTTGACTACTATAAACTATTTTACATTCTGAAAATTTGACAATAGTTTTCTTATAACACTTTAACAAATCTGGTTATGAAAATCTAACATCTAGACTTGCATCCAAACATTGTTACATGGAGATGATAAAATTGTCAGATGGTTGGTCAAACTTTGTTTATGTTACACTACAAATTTCACCCCATTAAGGATTCATGATTTAAACATAAATCCTTCAAACCTAGCAAAATTGACAATAATTAAAAAAAAAAAAATTACAAACAGTGAAATATGATTATTCCAAAAATTTTTGATTTTTTGAAGCTCTGCTAGCCAAGTAGATGTTGTGGGGGGGAAGGTTTACTGATGCTGCAGTCTTCTGCAGCTTCTGTTTGGTTGATGGCTTCTGCAACCACAATTTACTCGCCAATCATGCAGCTCCTGCTATGAAACAGCACCATAAATGAGGAAAAAAAAAGAGCAATATAAGCTATAAAAGAAACTATTTTATTTATAACATGACTTTATAAACATGTTCTACTAACTGGTTTCTGTAGCTTTACTCCCACTAGCATCTGGTCTAACAGTCTCATTCCTTCTACCATTCAATTCTTTACTTTCCTTTAGCACCGGTGGACACACTGCCTGAAAGAGAAATATGATTTAAGCATGATTCACATAAATCCTATAACTAAATCTTGACCAACAAAAATCTCAATTTTCTTATGTGATTTAACACTGTGCAGTCAGCTAATACTCGAGAAAAAATGGTGATGTTCTAAGAACAAGAAGGATCATAGATGATCAAGTAAAACCTGCAAAACTTGGCCTTTTGGCTCCTTAGTCGCTGCATTCTCTATATCTTCCAAGTTTATGCACTGTTGCTGTTGATTGTTTGAGCTAGAGGGATCTTTATCTGATACTTTCAATGGATTCTGAGGAGAAAAGCCAGCCTGAGGATTGAACAAGGAAGCACGAGGAAATAGAACTGGAAGACTTTGCCTTGGGATTCCAAGTGAATGAATATTGGAAGAAGGTGGGATTCCATGGAACCTTGCCACACCTGGAACAGAAGGACCTGAGAATTGTGTAACAGGCATTAATGGAGGAACTGGAATGAGACCCGGTGATCCGTTCATGCCAATCATCCCCATCCCCATCCCCATCCCCATCCCCACGCCAAGTGGTGAGAGATGTGAGATTGGTGGCACTCTCAAGTGCTGCAAATTCATCCCTGCTGGGAACATCATAGGAGTCATGAATAGCCCATTTCCCATAGACATCAGCTGCTCAAGTATCAAGCATGCTTTCTGTTAGTTTCAATCAGATATAAAATTATGAAAAAAAAAAATTCTTTTACCTGCACTTGAAGCTGAAGTGTTTTAAGATACTCAATAGCCTCATCAAGCAAGGACGCTTTGTCAACCTTTATATAATGGATTTTCATGTCAGGCATTCAGATTAATGTACTGCACTGAAATTCAGAGCTTGAGATAAATAGAAAAGATGTTACTTTGGTGCAATTTGGAATTAGTTCCTGCAGAGCTTTCATTTTCTCATTGATCCTGTCTCTTCTCCTCTGCTTATGCTAGAAAAAGTTAGTAAATAATGAATCCATGAAGTATTCAGAGTTAATGATCATGAAAGAATCAGCTACTCACTCTTTCTGATAAGTTATGAACTTCAGCAGCACGGCTTCTCTTACCACTACTAACTCGGCCTGAAGAAGGTTTCTTCACAGCAACTAATTCTTCCTCCGTATTCTATAAATAAAAGAAAGCAAATCAGATGAAAGCATAGGAAGAGTTATTGATAGAGTTATACAATCATATTTATGTTTTCTGTTCATTACTCACATCACTCTCTTCCCCTGATTCTTCTCCTTTCCTGGCTCGTTTTTTTGACTTGTGCTTTGGATCATTTGAAGTTGCTACAGCGTCATAGCCTGAACAAACTGAAGAAGAAGCAACAAGTGTTTCAGTTCCCTTCTCAAATTCCTTTCTTTCAGCGGCCATGTTTGATGCTTGGCCATTAGGTGAAGAGCCCATTCTGTCAACCACAGTGCTATTTTGAACTGGCTCTGTATCGTCAACCTTTGCCCGATTAAGACTCTCTGAGCCATTTCTGGACTCAACTACGGTGGAATCAACAGTACAAGTGCTCGAAACAGTACATGATTTCTCATGACTCTTCAACCTGTCAATACCGTTAACATTGGCTTTAACAAGAGCAGCAGCCCTGGAGAAATGTGGAAAGTTCATCAAACCTGCACTGTTGCTTTGACCCAACGCCCTCTGAACACAAGCATCTTGTTTCTGAAATCTTGTACTATTTAGATCACCAAACCGGTTACTGTTGCCGCCATTAATATCCACATCCTGAACTCTTGGCTTTATATTCTCTGATAAATTGTGGCACTGCTGCGACATATTTACCGAACTGTTAAACCTACTTCTGCATGGGTCTGAAGCACCGGGAGAGGATCTAAAAATTTGTGAATCTTTGTTATTTGTATCTGACAAAGATGGCATATGAACGCCTGTAAGGTCAGAGAAAAACTCTGAGCAGTAGTCATTTTGAATAGAATCATCTATTGCATAATTCAACCATGGAGCTGCGTCTTCTTCTTGATCATTCATAGAAGAAGGGACTGCGGAAGGCAAGTCATGTGCTGCAGAATCTATTCCACCATTCTGCCCAAATTTCTCCTCAAGTCTTCCATCGAAGGCAAACTCGGTGCCGAGGGAACTCTTCTTTGTTCGATTAGATTGTCCCTGCATCACTATTTGGCCATTCTCCCACAACAGCTCCACCAGCTCATGTTCAGGCCTTCCATGAACAAAAGCACGAAGGTTGCACATAAAAATCTTACCTTCGAGAAAAAAAAAATGAGCAGGAGAAGCTGACTTACATGAAGGAGGATAGATCAGAAGAATAATTTGTCATCTTATTTGAACAGGAAGATTCAGACTTCCCCTTTTTGGCTGTGTGATGAACTTCTGAAAGAGGACTGGCCAAATCTCTGAAATTGGATCCCATGAAGAGACTAAATCATGTGATCTGAATCGAAAAGCTGATCTCTTTGTTAATTTATAAAAAAGATGAAAAAATCAAAAAAAATTCCTTATCTTCTCCAATTGAAGGAACCTTCCAACATCATAAAAGAGGAACACAAACTTACATCTTCTTTCAGAAGCATTCAGAGGCAAAAATTCTGGTAGCAAAATCCACTTCAGTGCCACCATGGACGGCGATAAGCCACAGCAGAGATATGAGAGAGAGGCTACAAACCACATGGAAACCCTTCTACCTTCGTTACCATTCCTGAAAAGGGGGCAACTTGCATCCAACGGTCAAGATTTGCTCCGTGGGGTCTTCACATTTCAGGGAACTGCATTTAGTCCACGCACTTAAACGTGATGTCTGTCACTTACAGTCTCAAAAGTTTAAGAGAATCCATCACAGCAATCTCTGCTGTTGCATTCTTATCTTTTTCTCCTTTTATGGGGCATAAATCTATCTCCTATCTTTCCCTTTCGTCGCTATCTGAGAAATCGCAATATGGGAATTCATCATTGGTGGGATTAAGATAATAATTTGTCTTTTCTTTATGACATGGTTTTGTTTGATGCGTTTTAATAGCACAAAAGAGTCAGATTAGCGGAAGATTAGGAGCGTTTTAAATTTTGCTTTGTTTGGTTGTTGTTGCGTTTGATTCTTAAAGACAGGGAATAGTAGACATCCAAAGCCAAACAAAAAAAAAAAGTTTTGAGTAGGGGATCTGATTTCCAGCATAGCTGGATTGGCTTGAGTTTTGAGTAGGGGATCTGATTTCGATTTCCAGCATAGCTGGATTGGCTTGAAATTAGCTCGAATAGATTTAGTCAGCTCGAAATAGAAACTAACAGGCTCAAATTGAGTTATTTGGATCTGTTCTAGTTTGATTTAAAATTCGCTCAAGATTAGTTATATTCAATTTTACTAGACAAAATATATATAATTTTTATAAATAAAAATACTGAGTCGATCCATTTATGCGTTGAAATTGGCTTGAATACATTCGATCCAGAACTTCAGCTCATAGACCAACTCATTTTTTCGATCCAATCTCAATCCAAACAAAAATTCAAATTAAATTGAGAGCAATTAAAGACCTTCGAGCTGAATTAACAGCCCTAAGTTTGAGTCATGTACCCAAAAACAAATAGAACCAAACCCACCCGATTTCCTTCCTCCTGTTGTTTCATGGGGCCTGCTCCTCTTTTCATGAACAGAGCAGCTGAATAAGTGGAATAGGAATCCACTTATTAATAATTGCACTTTGATGCTCATTATTCCCAAAGAAAAAAAGTAATAAGAAAATACACATATTGCAAAAATACTAATAGAAAATAATTAGTCTACAAAGAAAAATTTCTATAATGATATAATTCTAAATGAAATATATAATTCCAGGCTTCTTGGACGGAGTGTCAGAGTTATGTATAAAAAGGATAAATGCGTAGGCATGAGCCTTATTTGGTAGAGCTCAAGTCAGCATTGCTTGAGCTAACTACATAAAACCTAGCAATATTGACTTGTTTTTTTTCATCCAGTTATTGAGATTTCAAAAAGGCATAATTTCTTACACCTCAAGCCCGGAAGACACCCCAACAACATAAGGTTATATATATATATAGATGCTAGAGCGGAGCGGAGCCCACGAGCGGAGTGGAGCGGAATGATCTGTCCAATCAGGGGAGTTTTATTATGTGGGTTGAGGGTGCGGAGGCAACATCCCGCGATTTGGTACATGGATAATTTAAGTAATTACATATTGTACTATGGTTATAAATATGTCATATTTGTAACCCTAGGTGAGATTCTGAGATTCTGAATCTTGTATTCTGTACTCTTTTCTGATATGAAGTCGCCGCTCTGCTGCAAATGATGTAGGCATCTTTGTCGAACCTCATAAATCTCTGCGTGTTCTCATGGATTTGTGTCGATTCCTATTTTTCTTCGCTCTAATTTCTCAACAAGTAGTATCAGAGTCTGGTTCAAGGGCAGGGAAGAAAATTTTGGGTGACACAGGAACAAAGAAGATTTTCGCCGAGGAGTTCGATGACTAAGGCTTCGAACGACCAAGGATTTCAGTGAATTCAGTAAGGGCTTCTGCGATAGATCGAACCAGGAGGATCGTTCGTTTGTCGGGCGCAACTTTCAGTAGGAGTTCGCGGTTTGGCTCAACGGCGTCCGTTTCAACGAAGAAGTCGCATACAGTTCGAACAGGCGAACTGAGGGTCGCAAGGTGTTCGACTTCTTTCGCGACAACAGGCCGAAGCTTGGATCGCTACAGAAGAAAGATCGAGACGCAGGAGTTTGCGAGGTGCGAGAGACAGCAGAGCTGTTCGAGCAGCGGAGGAGTAGAATTGGAAGAAAGTCCGCGGGTAAAAGAAATTTAGCGCCGAGAAATTCTGGAGATATTCAGGACGCGAAAAAGGTGGATTCTGTTGTTGCACTCAGAAAAGGAAAGCTGGAGGCTTCCCGATTGGAAGGAAATCAATATTCACCCTTTTGTGATATTCCAGGATGCAGAATTGCAAGACAGGTTCCAGAATTGCATAAGCTTTTCTAGAATGCGGAGCTTTTCTGAGAAGTAGAGCAGAGCTTTTCTAAAAGAAAAAATGAGCTTTTTTTAGAAGAAAATGGGAACTCTTCTTGGAAGTTAAGAAAATGATTTCTTGGAAAGTTTAAATAAAGAAAATTTAATTAAGGGGAAGTCTTTTTTCTTGTAAACTTAATTAAGGGAAATTTTTTTCTTGAAACTTAATTAAGGGAAATTCTTTTTTCTTAGAAACTTAATTAAAGGAAATTTCATTTTTATTGTAAATTTAATTAAGGGAAATTCATTTTTCTTGAAACATTAACTAGAAACTTAATTAAGATAAATTCTTTTTTTCTTGGAAATTTAATTAAGGGATTATTTAAAAGGGCCCAACCCACATTGGTGCAGAAGAAACTCTATGATATATTTCTCTTAAGGGGCTGGATATTTGGCAAGGTGGAGATTTGTTGGGTATATGCATTTCTCCTAAAGGGGCTGGATATCCGCTAAGATGAAGATTTGTTAGGTATGACTAATAATACCAAAATTTGGAGTCTCTTGGAATGAAGAGATGTTTTTTGGAATTGAAGAATTGTGTCTCTTAAAATTTATTTGGGTTGGAGGGATCAGCGAGGGCGCGGCGGAAGCGTGGTGGCCCACCCACATTAATGCATAAGAAACTCCATGATATAATTCTCCTAAGGACCTAGATATTTGCTAAGGTGGATATTTGTTAGGTATGGCTCATATACCATAAATGAGACAGATGCTGGAGCGGAGCAGAGCCCGCGAGTGGAGTGGAGCAGAAGGATCTGTCCAATCGGGGGAGTTTCATTATGTGGGTTGGGGGTGCGGGGGCAACAACCCACGGTTTGGTACATGGGTAATTTAAGTAATTACATATTGTACTATAGGGTTATAAATATGTTCTATTTGTAACACTTGTTCTATTTGTAACCCTAGGTGAGCATCTAAAATTCTGAGATTTTGAATCTTATGTTCTGTACTCTTTTCTAAATAATGAAAAGGAAATCGTCGCTCTGCTCCCGAGAATGTAGCCATCTTTGCCGAACCTCGTAAATCTCTGCTTGTACTTATGGATTTGTGTTGATTCCTATTTTTCTTCGCCATAATTTCTCAATATATATTCCCCTAGGGTGATTGGAAAATATATATATATATATATATATAAGATAAATTTTTATTTCATTTGATGAATAAGAGTTCAATAATTAATAAAACTGAAAAAAAAGAGTAAGAAATCAATTGAAATGATAATAGAGAAAGAATTACCCAAAACTCGAGAAAGAAATACAATAGCTAATGTAAAATTAAAAAAGCTAAAAAGAAAATAATGTCTGTTACTATGAAAACGATCCTCCAAGTGATTTAGTGGAGTTTGTTATGTAAAAATATCAATGACTGAGTTTGACAAATCAAACTTAGAGAATAATTATTAATTATTAAATCATAAACGACAAGAAACTGGGTCATGTTGACTTAGCTGTATGAACAATAAATTAAATGAAAACTTATTTTATGCATAACATAATGTGCTAGCGTAACAAATGAGAAGAAAAGGAAACAACATAAACCTTCCTTACTCTAAGGCCTGTTTATAATTGTTCGGGCACAGAAATTCAGGGAAGTCCATTATTAGACAATAATGTTATTTAATTCATACATGTTACAAAAAGGTTCTCCTATCCTCGTATGTTATGCAGCTTCCAAAGAGCAAGAGAATTTGAGAGCTTAATATGCACATAACAAATCTCAAGACTGATGAAAATTATAGGATGAAGAAATTACCGATCGAACGCAGCTGTTGAAGACAGTTTTCGGGCTGGAAGTTGGCTTAAGGGGTGTCTTGTTCGGGCGATTGGCAAAACGTTCTAGGAGTTTTCTTACAAAGCAGTGATCAGACCTCAGGAAAATCGATAAGAAACATCATTTCAGATTAAATATCGATCGGGTTGAGGCATATCAAACAATCGGTGAACTCTCTGTAATTTCTTAAAAGTCCTTCTGAAAAGTCAATAATGAGGGGACTAATATGTACTTTTATAACATTGGGACATGTGTCTATAAATATGGGGTCCATATCATTAATAAAGGCTACTCTTTTCTTGTTCTTCTCTACTCTCTCTCTCTCTCTCTCTCTCTCTCTCTCTCTCTCTCTCTTCCCTACAAAATGTTATATATCTTGGGTGTGTTTCTCGGACATTCCGAATTTAAGAAGGAGATAGAGGAGGATGATTGAGGCGGTATTTTTTTTTATGAATAAGTTGGACATTTATACATATATTTTTCTGTGAACAGTGATGTGATATTTTATATTAAATGCACTTTGTTTATTTCGTCATTTGATTTGATAATTTATTGTTCAAATGTTATTTTAGTTCTTTAAATGTTCTGAATAATATATTAAATGTTGTGATAACATGTGTGGTAACGTAAATACAAAAGAGAGAATCTGTTTTGTTTTGTTTTTTTTTTATGCTACAAGTTTTTGATGGTTTTCTCATCAGAACTGATGGAATTTGACCGTCTGAAAAGAACATTATCCCTATAGTGCACGATGCCTAGGCTTCGATCTTCTCTAAATAGCCGAAGGAAGAAGTGAAGTTGCGAGGGAGGAAAAAGTAAAGTGTTTCACAAAAGTCTCGATTAGGAAGGCAATGTAGGAAAAGATCGTGTGACTTGTGTGATCAAGTTGGATGACACAATGAAAGTATTCACGTGAAAAACAAAAAAAAATTATGAAATTTCTCACGGCTCGGGAGAGAAGATTTGATTCGGCTACTAGCACTATTTGATTCTTACATAATTGATCATTGATCATTCTAGTTGTAGCGATGGGTGCATATGATCAT